GTGCCTCTTCATGTAGCAAAGACTCACCCTTCTGGAGGTCATCCTTCTGTCGTCTTAGCCCCCAGAAACATCGCTGTGCCGCCGTGTGTCATCATCCCTCGGTGTGTGTTTCAGACAATAGCTGTCCGAGAGTCTGTGTGTTTCCATCGTGTCCCAGATGCTCTGGGGAAATGTGTGAGTTTTCTACCCAGTTCTCTGAGCTCCTTGTGACAGACCCCATCTCTCCTCCAAACACAGGCCTTCCCTGAGATGTGTGCGTAGCACAGATTTGTTCTGCTTCTTACTCTTAGTGCCACGAGGCTTTTATTACCCAGGGGGAGATTTTGATCATAGAAAGGAATATTTCAATTACCTTTGCTTTATTAACAGTAGCACTAGAAGTTATAAATCTTAACCCTATTTTTGAGCTTCATTTTTATTATTTTGTCTTCAGCCATAATTTTTTTCTAAGCCTATCAGTCAACTTAACAGCTCTTATTTATAAATGTACCAATGTTAAAAGTAAGTCATTTTTACTTCTTTATTTTTTCATAAATTTGATAGCATTCTCTCAATGCACATTTAATCAACCAAGCTCATTGAGACATGCCAAGTTATAATCACAAAGCTGGTAAATTTTATTCTCTCAAATTCAGCACCCTAATAAGACAAATTTGTGATTCTGGCAAATATAATCTTCCTTAACACCAGGCCACTTCTGGAATCAGTAAATGTGCTTGTAGATGCAGAAATTAACATCTTTCTAAGTATTCTAAACATTCTAAATAAATTACATGTGAAATTGTGTAGTTGTTTCAGAAGGTCTTGCTGCATTAATATAAAGCCAAGTTATCCAAAATTACACTTGTTTTTGGTTGTTTTTACACATTCTTGGAGATTGAAATTTGCTCACCTGAACAGACTCACCACTCTGTTTAAAAGTCAGAACTGTGGTCTATGCCACCAGTAAAAGAAGCCCTGACTAACGGAGGCACAGAATTGAATGCACTTTCTAGAACTAAGTTCCCCATTGCCGTGGGGTGGACTTTTTGGCATTGCCAATCTGCATGAGCAAGACTTTCTCAACACTCTTTGTTCCAGCATGCAATGAAGTGCCTTTCCCTGGAATGACCTGTCTCTCAGACTCGTCGAAGGGCTTTGCAGGTCCTCAGAACTTCATCTTTCTTACATGTAATTTTGAACATTCTACTACATCAAAGCCTCAAATGTATTCATGGAACTTTGAATCTCCTGCTCAGGCTCTAACTTTACCGCTTTCTCTTTTATCATGTGTCTTAGCAGCCACTATCTTTCTGGCGATTTAATGATGCACAGGATATACCTTTATGCTCAACAGTATTCCAGATTCCGGCACATGCCGCTGTGAAGAGCAGCATTGTGTTTTTCTTCCTAGTGATACATCCAGAATTGTGTTTGTTTCAGTTCAAAATTACATTCCAGTGACTGTGAAGTTCTCAAACCTCTTTCTCAAGTCTTGAATAAATCATGTAATTTCATCACGTTATGAGTTCAGAGCAGCTTGTATCTTTATGTTGGCCCCTTCCACCATTTCTCTGCACATCATCTTGGTTTTCTGACATCTGTGTCCCTTTTGTGACACTTGACTCTTCCCCCAGAGTGATGCTATGTCAGTTTTAGTCTGTAACTTCTCTCACAATTGGTATCTGAAGCCAGTACCAGCCTTGATTCATTCCCCACCTTGAGAAGCGCTTCTGTATAGCCTTGCTAATTCAGAGGGACTCCGTTTATCTTTGGTTGTTCCTGTTATCCTTTGGAAA